TCAAGGAGAACCGAATATCGGATTTGCTGTATTGTGCAGTGGTGGCCGAGCTATGGGTTACGCCTGCACTGAGCCTGCCAGACTACGCGATAGGGAGAAGACATAGGACTGCGGACACGGCTGTATTGCCAGGACAAAACGTACAGAGCATCTGCGTAAATATATAGGATGACTAAACGGCCAAATATGGTCATTCACTTGTTCGCTCCATATAGCCAATGGTGGTGTTCCGGTCGTCAACACTCAGGCCCACTACGCTGGTCGTGTGTTGCTAAGCCGTTTGGTGAGAGCCGTGTTTCGTGGGAGCCGCCAACTCACCTACTTTCCGGACGTGTCGAACCGATGGTGACCTTGGGGATGCGTCACTCTCTGCACACGTGCTTTTTCTTCTGTCTGGGCGCGCCCTGACAGGATTCACAACCAGAGAAACAAGGAAGGCCTTGGAGTCAGATCAATAAGGGTCACAAGCCGGGACTCGGAAGTGTCAAAAACAGAGGTCACACCAGCGTCTATCAGAGTACGAGGACGGGGGTGCTAAGCTCAGGGGTCACGTGGGCATCGATGAACCAGGACACAAGATAACAGAGAAACCAATGGGATCTTCTGACCAAACAACTTACGGTGATCGAAAGTCTATCCCGGCTAGCAGCATGTATATAAAGAAACAGGCAACACTACTCAACGCACAACCACCAAACCATCACTCCGCTCCCTAACAACGCACTCATGATGTGAACTCGATTGGTGTTGAAACGTTTGGAATCAAATTACTAAGCTCAGCGAACAACATGAGCTACTAACATTCAATATTGAATCACAACTAACGTTGTGCCTCCACTAGCGAAATAGGAACATGCCCTATAACACCTTCTATGGTAGACGGCTCTCAGCCTTCTGTAGTAAGGTTGATGCGACAAATGTGATCAACTTGCCTCGCTAGTTCTATCCAAGGATGCTTTGCCAGGAAATTATATTCCCAGTAGCGGTCCTCAGTTTCAGAGCAGTGAGTTACTTCAATTCTAGGATGTTGAAGGCATCAGACCTTCTAAATCAGTACCGTTCAGTCTGTCTACTAGTTGCATAGTTTATGGACTCGACCTCACCTTCAAGCAACTGGTACAAACAGTCCAGATGGCAGGTGGTGGTACGCTTATTGCAACACGGGAAACATAGAGAACCTTACTACACGCTGAGAAGGCTAAGACGCTGTTGCAGATTATTCTTGGAAGACAAACTTCAACATGGTACAGTCTCATTATTCTGAGGAAATGGCTGGAAAAATGTCGTGGAAAATACACAAGCCTGACATGTACACCGGGTAGGTTGGTTCGTGTGTGAATACCCCACACTTGGTAAGGAGATAGTGGCATCCAGTCATCAGTATTGGTAGTGTGCACACTGGGGACCCATATTTTACCTGAAGGGCAAAAAAAAGTTTCCAGATGACTATTTACCAGAGCCCAAGGTTATACATTAGAACCACTACTTAAGCATCTAATTTGATTGTTTCTGTGGGCGTTCCTGGTGTCATGCTGTCTGCTGTAGCCCACAGGCTTGTCCAACGCCGAAGCCGCTGGTGTCGAAAAAAATTTTCTTCACTCTTGCATTTAGTGAAATCATCAGTGTGTTGGATCGCTTTTCCATCCGGCACGGCACTTTTTAAATTCTGGTACATGATAGTGGGTTGTAATCCGCACATGAACAGTTTTCGGAGTTTCTTTATCGGTACTCACTTCAGCATATAGACTTGTCTCCTTACAACTCACCGGTTCTCGACTACTGGGTTGACTGAGTCCCAGTTAGCCTGGTCAGATGCTCATAACACCATCATCACTCTCAAATACTTCAACAAAAGCTTTGATATTGACGCTTCACTCAGATATAATCACAAAGTTACACATGTAATATCGTAATATATCATATATATTATGTTAATATGTAATATATTATAGTGTAATATATATTATATAATTATATTTCAAGATTCAAAGTTGTCAGCGAAATTGTGGGTGGAGAAAGTACCCGATGCTAGCTTACTTCAGGTATTGTGAGATCCTTACACCTGCAGAAACTCAGTTAGGCGATCTAGAAAGATTGATGGCAGTGTGAAGTTTGGTATTTTTTGGCTAATATTTCGTCCTATAAGTGAAGCCAATCTGCGACTTCTGAGATAGAAGTTTCACTCATTTCGTGGAAATATTCTTTCTCTGAGGTGAAGTTTCGTGAGATGTGTTCTTCCTAGTGCGTTTTCATCCCAACAAAGATGAAAGTGCTGTACAGTGCTTTTCCGCCTTGTAGCACAAATTGACTTCCTTTACAGGACAAAATCTCAACAGCAAATTGCCATATCTCCTCGCATTGCCATCAGTCAATAATTGGATCCGGAAAAGGATAATTTCACAGGGGGAGTGAAACTTCTATCTGAGAAATCGTCACTAGTCAATCAGTACGTGACCATGTAATGTGGTTTCCGTGAGTGAAGGATGAGTGGCGGAGTAGCTCGTCTAAGGGCAATGATCAGCCGTTCGTCGCCGAAGGGTTAAGTGTTCGAACTACAAACTGGGATGTTGTAGGTTCGAGACTACCCGGAGTTTTGTGAGATGCTTACCGCACAGGATTTCCGATAAGGCTTAAACAGCTGTGCAGTGCTTCTAGGTTTTTTAGCATAGATAGGCTTCACTTATAGAATGAAGTGTGGGCTGAAAAAATTGGAAAGAAACTAATAGCACTAACTTTGTTGGGATCGATTAGCTGCCATCCTTTGCAATGCTCCCAGCAAAGCGTAGGGGGTCGATTGCAGGCCCCCATCTTGGAAAGTGGATCACACTGGCAACACCCATACTCCCCAAACGGGGCTATTGCCCTCGACTCGTGGCTCTCATTTCCTTACCCTCCTTATCCTCGATGAGTGAGGCTGTGGCAGCTGGTACCGCTGCACTTCGGTGCACAGATTGTGACGATAAAACTGAACTGAACTCAAACCTCTCGTACTCTCCTTCACACCATCCTGCTTAAACACAACTTGTCTACCTCGAAGTTTTGTGCCATCCTTAAGGAGACATGGAGGGCGATACCGGTCTCAAAAGACTAGGATTCGGCAGGCGTAGCACATGGCTCAGCCATCGCCTTTGGTGCTGGATATTCCAGTATCCTTCGGTTTGTCAGCCCCTGAACGGGGCTGCAGACCCGATAGGGACTAAGAGATCGTAGGGACGATGAAAATCAAACGCGGAAAAGTGATGAGTGAATTAAAGGTGACTGGCAACACGTGGGTTGTTTACCTCAGCTAACTCAGATAAAATAATCTATCCATATCTACGGATCCTGACGCTAAGCCCTGCGTTGAAGCTCCTTCCAGACAAGCTGGGGCGTTCTGATGCATGTACGACTCATCCACGACAGCTATCTCATCCATTACCGGTGTCAACAGAAGCCGGTAAGAAAGCTGAAGGTCGCCTTGCGCTACCAGACTTAATAGACTATTTTTGACGCCGGGGTTATGAAGAAAGGAGCAAGTTTACTTAATCTATACGCTAGCCAAGAGTATATTTCTGCTCGTGAAATGCCTGCTTGCCACTGACAGGCGATGTGTGGAGCTTACGCTGCCCTCGTGCACCTGCATTCTCGTATAGTTTGCATTTTTAATGAAATAAAATACGTTCGTATCGGCCTGATGTCTGGGTTCGTTTGTGGAAAAAAGCATTTGCTCAGAGTTATCATTTGACCTCACCCTGGCATGTTAACTTGAACGACGGCTCAAGTTTACTGAAGAATATATTTATGGTCCAGTTCAACTGCAAGGGATTAGAAGTCTACACGACTGTGACTCTCAAAGCATCGTGTCGAGGTACATGGTTTCATCGATAATCCGGCTATGTGAACCTGAGATAGTTTTGATTCGTCGTCACCTTCCTTTAACTCGCCCTGAAGGGATACTGCTGCTGTCCACTGTTGTAGGCTCGATTCCAAACTGCACAACCGCCTCCTGTTTCTGTCTAAACGACAGGCACAAACTATGAACATTCTATATTCAGAGCAACCTGCGAAAAATAAAACAACAAAATCTTTTACCTCTGTGCTTGTCAAAGTTTTCGAAAGCTTGGTGAAAGTTTCACCAACTTGATGCTAACCTTGCCGCGTGATTTTCCCTGAGATGTCAATTTTCTTGACGCGAAATCCACTGAGCGGTCGATCAGTCTAGGCGAACCCGGATGGTGGCTACCATGTTCACCTTATCTCACCTCACTGAATTTAGTTATTGTGGTACATGCACAAATAAGATGGCATTCAGGTGGGTCAAGAAACGTACAACAATGATGCGAAGATGGTTCCCCTTACCTAATCCACAAAAGTTTTACGACGCTTGTTTGAATAGAGGCTGCAATGCAATTAGAGTGACAGCGGGTCTGACACCCCTATTCTAAAACTTTCACTTGCAAACCCCCAAGCTCGTGGATCAGTATCCTTTGTTTGGGTCGTGAAGAGTTAGGAACAATTAGCTGACTATTTTTAGTTTACCAGACTACTAACAAATTAGAATTATGAGCTAAACCAAACCAAATCCAGCTGAAACGTGCACACGTTATACTGAGGCAAGGGTATAAACTTTGAGGTTCGAAATAAGGTGACAAAATGCATCCAAATTCACTAAGTGCTCCCCAGATTGAGGCGATTCAGATTTTTGTTTGAACGTTGTACATCACTCTGTCATTACAACCCTGAAACTCCAGGGGTAGTGTGTGGATGGTAAGCTGTTGAGAGTAGAAAGGATAATTTATCGTTTTGTTGAAAAGTTGACAAAATTTTGATTCTGTTGGCGGGCTCTCAATTACTTCAGTGTTTACGTATCCGGAATGTGTTTCATATACCTTATCTGTGGGTTCTGGAAAACCGAGCATATAAAAGACGGTTGGTCAGTCATTTGAATTTCGAAAGTGGTGTTGTTTAATTCCAAATTACTTATGGTCACGGATGTTTTTATCTTATTTTACCGGCACAAGTGTGTTTGCTTTATAGATGTATCGACACGTTTGGCTCTTACGTATCCAGGGCTTTACTGTCAAAAGCTCCAAGCAATTTGAGGTTGGACACTGCCTCTGTTCTTGCTGCATACATGCGACAGTCTTTGGCTACAGATGCGCATTCATCTGAAGTAAACCGGGATCGTCTGAAGACTTCTGATTCTGTGGAGCACGGAAAACCTAAGATAAATCAAAACCAACGTGGAACATATCGACCTGGTCAAGACATGAGAAACAAGAAGGGGATTCCAGACCTTTCTAACATTCACTTCCCTTTAAGACAGAACATCTCAAAGGCGAAAATGACGGATGCAGTAAGCATTCGCCGTGTTCAGCCGTTGGATGTGAAGAAACTGAACAACGTACGTTCCCGACCAGCCCATAGAGATAGCGGCAACTTGAAACCGGCGTCCAGGAGAAGATGTAATAAACACAATACACTCGTGACACCCTGTTCTGTCCAATCAAAATCGCGCAACAGCCCCACACTTACAGACTGCGGTGCATACAGTACGGGGCTTCTGTCGGAAGGTAGTATATCACATACGTTGCCAGCCCTACAAGCAGCACAGCATAACAGCGCACTTGGGAGGCACACTTCATCTCATTCTTCCTCATCTTCAACATCTCCCTCTCCCATTGCACACAGGGGGATGGAAAGCCTGCATTCGTCAACTGCTCATCGTTCTTCTTCACCCCTTTGGCATTCTAAGCTGTTTGATGGATCACCTAGTCTTGAAGCCCAAGGAAGTCACTCAACTAGCCGAATAAATACCAGCAAAACAGACAGTGACCTTGGCCGCCACTGCACCCATCGGGCTCAAAAAGCGAATGAGAGAATCATGTATCTAGATAGTCAACCACCTGGCTACGGATCTTTGGATGCGATACCATTTATGCAGCGCACGAAAGGCCAGGATCTACCGCAAATGAGTGTACCGGTTGGGTCGATACGTGATACCACCCACCTCAAAGCCATCCACTACAGTAGTTTGGAGGAACAGTCTTCCTGTCACCTGGAGTGTCAACATATACCTGTGGATGAGGCTCAGCGTACTCCTGAAAAAAATGGACGTAGCGTGCTCTCCGCTCAATTGGACACTGAGAATCTGAGGCTAAATACCGTTTCGGAGAGGAATCTACCTGATGTACGAGTTGGTAGATGGTTTGACATCAACGACGACTGTATTACGGAAGTAGACCCAGAAAGTTTTCAGCGTGTTTTTGAAGGACCGGAATGTGCATACATGTTGTTCTACAGATTAATGGGTCTGGCAATGCCTGTGAATCCGATAACCCAAAATAACTAGAACAGGTTCCACTAATATCTCCGATATCTCTTGATGTCTGTTGTTTCAGGTTGTTGTTGACAAGATTGCATGTTGTACAGCAGATGGGTACATACTTATTTTATAACTACATCGCATAAGTTTACTCGAACTCTAGTGAACAGATTACTCATCAAAAGCAAACTATGTTCAAAAGATTCAGGTTTGCGGTTGGTAAAACTTCCCAAGGCCAGTTTCTTTTAGCCCAAAGTCGATCACGCCTCATAATAGCCAGATCGGTAGTGTGTACCATTTTCCGGGTCCGAAATGATTAAACAGAGTGCATTTTTCTGAATATTCCAGTTTCTGAATGGTTCGAGATGGTGATAGGATCTTTTCTGGTACAAGGCACTTGAGTAAGTATCTATCGATAAAACTATTTTGGAAGCACGTAATGCTTTCCACAGAAGTCCTCCATAAAGCGGACTCTCTCAGAAACAGCTCATCATCCACTACAGTGAAACAAGTTAGAAGGTAGATGGGGATTTGGTAAATTTTTAAATTGGAGGTCCATGTACAAGAGAACAGACAGACATAAACTGACAACGTAGATCTGAAGAGACACATAGTACCACATTTCAGAGCGAGGGCAATCCAGACGAATCATCGGACGATAATTTGGTGGTTCTCAAATTGGTAGTAATCATCGCTGTCTTTTTCACGGAGGACTACAACTTAGTGATGTATCGTTGAGTTAAGCAATTCTCGTTCAAGTTTAGTTGAATATTTCCTGATAACGTGGAAAGCAGATGTTGATTTTAGATCAATCAGGTCTACAGTCACAGATATGCAACAACATTCAATACAATGTGTAGTGGAAAATTCTACCCCATGTTTAGGTAAATTCTTATTACCTGGTGTCACCCCTCTGCAAAGAAGTGCATCTTGGGATCCTGAAGATATTTCATTGATGGCAGAGTTAACGACGCCCCATATTAGTCAGGTCGAGACAGCTAGTCATTTTCCAGGGCCGCTGTCAATTTCTAGAATGCAGTTAGGAGTCAAGACCCATCGTCTCAGCGATTTCTACCAAACTGGTAGGTGAATCATACTGCGCCTCGTCTGAGAGGAAAGTTAGCGTCATTTACCATGGCGTGATCAGTGAGCTCAACACGAACAGCTGAACTGACCACCCCTCTACGATGCCGGAGCATTGCGCTCAGTCACCGGAATACTCACTGCTTTCGCACGGTTACGAACGGCCTGTAATACAGCATCAATGGTTAACTTGGTGCGCGTTATACGGGGTCACCAAGTGAAATCTGACGGGATACGTAATCCAATCCAGTTGCTTGAGCAGTCCCTTATCCGCCACAGGGCCAGTTGGATCAGCAATCAATTGGTGTGTAGCTCAATTTTTTGATAAAACCACTTGATCAAGACATCTCTTCACCACACATGACTTCTTCCCCGAATACGTTCCAGGTATTTCGGGGTGCACAGAATCAATTGGGCTACCAATGACAGATCAACGAGGACCGGTAACGTATTACAGTATCTACAAAATGTGTCAATGCTATTAGTTTTTCAAGTCTTAGTTGTCTTTCAATGTTTATGCAGAATGTGGAAGAGAACTTAAGTGGTTTTAAAGTGACTAATTAAACGGGATAGAAAAACACCGTTATCCATGCCACTGGAGTGGTGATGAGTCATTGAGCCAACTATTCGAGTTCGCTTCTCATGATCGGTCTACTGAATCGGTGAAATCATAATCGGGGTAGTGGTGGTAGGGTTTTAACTTACTGACTAGGTTCTACCGGACTACGGATGAGCGAAGGTGGCTGCTGTGCACAACCAACTGGAAGTCGAAACGATCGATACATGCCATCGGGCAGATCTAGGGCCCAGTGGGAATCGACTAGGGATGTTTCCCGAACAGTTCAGACTCATCACCAGCCGTTCGGACTGAGTCCCAGTTACCAGAATCACAGCCAGGATATCCATTCAGAGTATAGATGAGTCAGAAAGTGTGACTAACAGAAACATGCGGAAAATCCAAAAGCCAGTTGTTGTCAGTGTTGTAGGTACGGGACTTACAGGTAAGTGTATGGATGTGGATCTCAGATAGCCTGTAGACCCAGACGTTCAACACCGAACTGCGCGGTGTCAGATGGACTACATCTCATTCGTAAATTGGAGTCCGAGAGAAAACGCTGAAAGTCAATCCCCACCGGTACATTCACCGTCAGAAGCTAATGGTTCGGACTGTGGTCTTTGGAAGTCACTTGACAGGACCATACCTTTGGTGGGAAAGTTTTACAGGTAGGGGTTCAGTGTTATCTGTTTCACATTAAGAGATCCCATGTTCATGCTTCGTGCCACAATGCCCTGTTGCGAAGTTAGGCAGAATATCATTTCATGAACGGAAGTGAGCGCGATTCGTAATTTCCTAAACAAAAGGCAGACCGATGTACTAGTCATGGTGTGTCCATAGAATGGCTACCTCGATCTTCTGATTTCTCCTTAACTTTTCCCTCACGGCTATCATATGGAGGAAAGATATTGGAAAAAAGTGCCCAAAATATGCAGGAACTGTAGCGATTCACTCTGGAAAAATGTTATTGCATTCTAAAGTAAGCTCTTGTGAAATTACAACTGCTCCATCTAGAAAGGGGGCTAACATGTAGACAGAAATTTGGAAGAGGTTTTGGACAGTACATCCGGCCAAAAAGATGTACCGACACGAAGTTTCTATGGCGAATACATCGTTCTAGTGAATCACCTTATGAAGCAATGCATCACTAAGGAAGAGGTGCAAGGTAAGGGTGAGCAGTGCGTAAGCTAAAATTCGTGAGTTGAGCAACTGTTCCAGGGTTAGCTTCGAGCTGAGTGGTGGCCCGGTAAGTCGTGCGGGCCACAAGAAGTATGAAAAGCGGGACCTTCTTTTTATTGATGGGACTGAAACTGCATGCTTCGATAGTGTCACTATTCGACCGACTTGGATAACAGATGAAACTGTCGCTGACTAGCCGTAAAAAACTATTAAAAAACCGTTTGAATGATAGAAGACTAATGAATAATGTATTGAGGTTCCGGATACGGGACTTTGAGTCACGCGTAAGTTTGACGATCCCGAATATTAAAAGTACGAATCGAGTTCAAAGGTCCACTGTGCTGTTTACACAAAGATAAGATAGATAAGATAAGATAAGAAAGATAAACTACACAACGAACACGTTCATCGCGCCAAAAAGTGCGCAATCCTGTTAGGTAGGTCAGCAGCACACACATGCTTGTAAAGCAGCACCGGACGGGGCACTCTTTTCGGTAAGGTGGACAGCGGGTACGGAGGTAAAAAAAACAGGTGAAGACTAATAAGTATACGGGCACAGGAAGCAAATGAATGGGGGAATCATCAGGATATGGAGTTAGATTTACTAAAGTGGTTATAAAATGCGATGTTATAGAATAAATGTGTACTGCTCTAGTTACTCAGCCCAGGATCGAAGATTTTGTTAATCAAAACGGAAAACCCATACTCAATGAACCCTTGTCTACAGGATTACATCTAGGAGACTGAAAAGGGAACGAGGATTCACGCATACGGGACGGAGTTAAGGACTGGACAAGCGAAAGTTAACCTGAGTGTTCTCAATGGCGAGGAAGGTACCGAATCACTGATTGAAGTTAACCTGATTCATGAACAACTGAAGATCATACGAAGCTGGGAACACAAAGAAGATAAGTGCGCACCAGAGATATATTTCTGGAGTACAACTAAGATGCATGTGATAGCGAGCCTTTGGCTGATAGATATCCGGTGGATCTTATGAAAAACCATGTGTTGTTCACTACTTGCTGCCAAGGTGCACCATCGACTTCTGCAACTCATTGAAGCTCAGTTAAACCATCGTATTTGAATTCATAATTCGTGTTGCAACGGGGGAGTTTGTCGACGCATTAGAAAATATGTCGTTAAAACGGAGTTTATTTCCGCGGTACGTTACTCCGAGCCCAATTGCCGATGAAATAACTGAACTGGAGCTTTCACCAGCAGTTGTCAACAACAAAAATGTGCTGTCTTGAATGCCATTCATTCAACATTTTTTGTTCGTTTTGTCTTCAGGAACATTAGAGTTGCAATAAAAAAAACTAATTTGATGCGAATAGGGTGGTAAACGTTTTGGCACTTAGAATTAAAAATAACTTGAAACTGGTGCATAGTCTTAAGTACCAACGGGCGAGATGGCTCAAGTGGTTGGGGCGCGAATCAGCTGACCGGAAGGTCCGTGGTTCGACTTCTGTCTAAGCTTGTGCAACCTGGCAGTATCCCAGCCCTCGTGCTTCCTTCTGGTGGCATAGCAGCTAGGCACCGAAAGGGTGCTACAGTTTAACGAATTTTTTTCCTTGAGTACCATCAGGAGCAACCTACGGTGTATACTAATATTCGCATCATATGGGCTTCAGAAAGAGTATCCAAAGAATATTATCCATTCCGGTTCATCCAATCGGACACATTTTAGCCGGTTAAGGTTAGCAACCTGTTATTTGGTGTTTATCAGACCAATGATTACTGATAACCATATTTGTTCCAGGCATGATTCAACACTATTTTGATCAGTCTCACAACTGGCCCATTTCATGTCGCGACAGCGCAGTGAGTCAGCTGATTACGAAGTGATCTCAATCATGAACGTGCATCGGGTACGGCAACAGACCACCGTCAGTCACCTCACTCTCGTCACATTTGACTCAGACGGTTGGGGTGCTTTGTTCAGGTCTGCGCCGCAGCAGTTCGAAGCGAGTGAAGACAGCTTGCGCACCGATGAAGGTCTTAGAAGCCCAGAACTGCAATTCAAAGGGGGCTTTACGCTTGAATCTCGACTCCACGCAGAGTAAGGTTGAAAAAAGTGGGTTCACTGAACTTTCAGTCTGTTGGGAAGATTCCGATTCGCCAACGAGCCTATCACATATCATCTCACGCCCATTCTCACGGATGAAATGAATCATTGAGAGTGTGAATACAAACTGGCTATGAGCTCATACTTGTCGCCGTGAGCTGACGAGTTGATTGTGCCTGCATTGATTTGTGAGTGACCATCGTGAAGCGCAAAGAGATTGGACTGAAGTGGCTGCACAAGACTGGATAGCAAAAAAATAACTGCTGTGAGAGTCAGCCAAAACTTTTACGGATGTTCACAGCAGATGCGATCAGGACGAGGAAAATTGTGATAAGAAGATGGGGGAAGTAGCAAGAACTACGTGAAGCCGATCTATGCTGAAAAGCGAGAAGCACTGTGCAGGTGTTTCGTCCTTGTTGGGGATCATCTGGAATGCGAGCAATGTCGCAAGCGCGTACAGTTCATTCTAATTACCGCTTCTCAGTAGAATGATTACTGTAGTATGAGGCCTATGTACTAACTCAATATCAATATGCTCAGATCAAATTGTCAAAGTCAGTCGACCCAATGTACTGATTAAGTGACAGTGAAGTATCATTCGTCTGACAAAGTGGGTATACTTAGACCATTTGAGGGAAGCAGCCGAACGGAACCCGACCGTGCGCCGCACTACATGTTGGAAATAAACCCAGCTTACTACTTGGTGTCTGGGCAAATTTTTCCCCAGAAAAAGGCATTTTTCAAAGTTAGTCATCTGATTGCCCGGCCTCTTGCTACACTAGTGCTGGTGTCCGACTGTTTTCCGATAAATACTAACAGACAGGCTGAAAGCATCAAGCCCAAGACACCCTAATTAACCACAATTAACCATAATTAACTAACTGATTGATTAATTAACTAATTAACCATAATTAACTGTGATTTTTGTAGCTAAGTAATGTGGCCTGGCACCTAGTGTAAACGTGTGGCAGTGATTTGACTTGAACTAACTACCTCCGTTGAGAGCTAATTAATTGGATCACGAGTGCAGTATGCGGCTGAATCAAAGTTAAGGGCTACAACATCCCTCGAAGACAGCACAATCTGGAAATCACTGTTCACGTAATCCAGGTTTACTGGAAAAACATTAAGAAAAACTGACTTAGGTCTTCAGCACAGTAGTCAAGTTCTATTATAAACGATGGATCAAACTGAAAGTCCGGTTATAGGTAGGAAAAGTGATCATTTTGTGTATTAGATGGGATATAAAGCCGGATGAGAAACACAATCAAAGCCGCGACAAAGGAAAGCTGTAGCGACTCGCAGCAGGTAAGAAAAGACAAAAACTTCGCTGTTAATCGGTTTCTGCAAAACACAGACAGTAGCATGAGAGAAACAAGTAAGGCTGAGAAAAAATGAGTGACGAAAATTAACGACGGCACAGTAATAGTAAGAAATTTATTGTTCGTTCGGAAGGGTAGGCAGTGAATTTGTTTGAATCACTTCCGTCACGTTACGCAAGACAGGAGCAATGAATGGTGGCTGCACGGCCAAAGTCAGCTCAACCGGGGATGATGTTCGTAAGGACACGAAGTGCCCCACCCCGCTTCCAGTTCCAATCAGGTCTTGAGAGGTTTCGTGATGTCGATAACTGTATACACTTGTGGGTGAGATGGGACAATTTACAGGGCCTTCGGTCTATAAAAATAAAAACAACGGATCTGATATGAAATCGACATAAAGATGTTCATTCCTCTGTATATAGTGAAAATCATGCTCTGCTTGTAGAACCTAGAGAGAAGACCCGCCCAAAACACAACAGGCTTAGTTATCGACACACGTGCATACATGAACGTTGATTTTTAGCAATGTGGAAAAACTTCATGAGGGCAACAAAGGAAGCGAAAGTGCCAGCATTGCTCTCCAGGAAACTGAATAAGATCGACAACATACAGCGGATGCGTGAAAATCCTCATACTACACAGACGAACACCTGATGCGCTAGGAGCAGATATTGACGGATACTTAGATTTTTGACAAAAACTAGGCTCAGTGCAACTGGTTTAGCTTCACTGGACGGAATGTATTGTCGGACATGAGCTCTTAAAGGTAAACATCGTAACAAAACTATAGGTTATTTCACTTTCTTCATGGTGGTCACAGATGTGATACTTAACAACATGGTGATACCTTACGGAACTGTTGTCCAGATAGCAAATGCGGTTCAAGGGATAACAACAACACTCGCTGAAAACACTAACGCGTATGCCGTCACAACCGGCATCTAGATTTAGCTGGTCCCATTGCCAATAGACTGACGCACAGTGTGGCAGAAGTTCACTGCCAGCCGGAGAACGATTTCACATTCGAAGCATAGATTTGCTTCTATAAGAACTTGTTGAACGTCGACGTAAGAAACCCGGATGACGAGGCCCTCGTGCATCTCCTTTTGAGGAAAGTATGCCCACGAGAGTTTAAGTATAATTAAGTTCTACCAAACCTCCCCAGAGATGTATTGCCCGAGCAAACTGTGAAGTAGCTCACCAGAACTTACACCTTACAGTTCTGGTATTCCCAAGGTATCAACACTCAGGAGGATGATTTCGCGACTTATGCCGGTGTCGACAACATGGAATGTAAGCGCAACCAGCAATCACTGACTATCCCGAAGTGCCTCGAGCACCTATATTGTTGAAATTCTCACTAGTTTCGTTCAGCGTTTTATTTGATGCCTGTATTGTGCATTTCTGTTTACCTCGCTTCCGCCTCGTTGCTACCCTCCTGAAACAAAAGATTTTTCTCATGTTGTTGATTGTCACATCGCACCCATTTTTATGCCATATATGACGTCGAAATGATATCTACTGGCGTGCCCTCATTGTACCGGAGTTACTTATATTGGCGTGAATAGGCATGGTGCATTAGTGCCTTTAAGCAACCAGAAAAGGATGTTTTTGTTGAGGGTACTTTGTGTGCCGAGGGTCATTTTTTGACATTTTGCCAGTCAGTGGCGTTTGAATGGTGCCTCTCCACTAGAGTACAGGTTGTTTGAGGTCCTTGAGCATACGTATATGTCGTTGTAATGGCCCTCATTGGCGGTTCCTGTTGTTCCCGATATATACAAAAAGACTGTTACCAACTTCTGCGCTTGGGTAGCTGTCATTCGAAACGGCCAAAAATCCGAATAATCCTCACGCAGGAGAGAGGGGAGATGAGGTGTAGTGAAGCTCCGTTGTTGAGGGACCGCTTGTACCATACGCTTTTTATCCCGTTGAATGCAATGCAAAATGAGCATCTTGGACTTCAGAACACTTGGATACAGTTAACTGCTCTGTTTACGCAACTGTTCTGGCTGTAGGACGGTGTTCACGCTCGGAACGCTGTTTTGGTAAAACTTGACCTTATAAATGCACATAGGTATATTGAATTAGTGGATGTGAAACCCACTGAACATCTCATCTTACTGCGTACTAAAGATGACATTATTTTCAAAACAAAGAATACCGACAGGTCGACAGTGTGGTCATGGCTGACTTAGTGCTCGAAACAGAGATAGAATTGATGGAGTCGCCGATGTTGCAACCAACTCCTGAACTCAACCATCAGCTATCCTTGCTCAACGTTGGCGGATGCTACCTCCCGATTGTCCAGGCAGAAGGTAGTTTTTTGTACGCACTTCGCCTGTGACGTAAAAGTGTAACAGAAGGGTTAGCCACAAAACCCGTCCGCAGCATTTGGCGGGTGGGATGAGAGGATTAGTGTAGCACAGAACCTAACTCCAAAAATGCGGCGTGCGCTGGATGCCCTTGAAGACATATCTCGCTCACATCTTCTGGTATTCACATGCCCAGTCTGTAATTTGGATACCCCTTCCACTGAAGTACATTGCACGCTAGAGACAACGTAGCACGAGAGGATATAGTTATTTACATTTTCACACATGTTGATGGGATTCCGGTAAAAGTAGTGAGCTCGACACCATATGGCTTTCCTAGCCCTTGTTTAGAAAAAAAGGCGATATATCGGACAGTTGGAAGACAGTGTTTATCAGACATCTACATGTTGACCAACCGGATAGGAATAAGTTTGCGGATGTTACTAGAAGCACATACCGAAGTAAAACCGGTTAGTGAGATGGATGAGGCTCAATAACTTCGCGAAATTAACTTTTGCGGGTCACTGAAATTCAGTCAAATTAGCACTTCGAAGTAAACTAGGCTTTTCAGGACTATGTTGGTCAGTTAAGTTGATATTGATGCAACTGGCAGAAGACGTATTTAAGCATCGATCGATTATCGGTCATCTACCCTTAAAGTAGCAATAAACAGGAATAGGTGTGTGTGAACACGCAAAACGGTATATATATAATGATCGATAGGAAATGAGCGCATCTGTGGATTTCATAACGTGAGTGGTAAGGCAGAGACAGTAAAGTCTGACTGAGTGAAGGGATGTTTGACTGAATACAGGAATCTGTGAGTGTGTAATGTGCAACAGGTGGTGAATGTCACCCCAGGAACGAACCTACAAAAATATTGAATGAGCATATCTCACCGGCATTGGTGGGTCTAAGTCAAGTTGCTCGGTGCGATCAACAGCGGCATAATATTCATCCGTCACTCGCATGGTCGTCCCAGTCCGAAATGACGTTCCCACCAACTCTCCGGAGTCAGTATCGACCGGGCTACTAGAGCGGACGGTAGAGGTGCGTCGAAAACGGGTGGCCGATGAGCCAACAAATACCCAGCCAGTGACGATGGTGGTAATCCACAGAAAACCAGAAAGAATCAAGCCGGCAAGCGCAGTAATGCTTAGAGGATTGCCAATCGCGCCAAGACGGATTGCGATGAACATGAACAAATTTAGCTGCAGCAGTAAGACGGCTGCGAGCATGAAGTTTATCGCAAGCCAGTGAATTCGAGAGTCGATACGGCTCGGTAAATAAGCGTAGAACAGATTATGGCGGTCCACTAGATATTTGAAGATCAAGTAGATCAGTCCTGGATGAAGAAGACAAGGGTGAGAACCTTAACTGCAATAGGAACCGAATAAAACAGTGCAACTGAACATGGTAATCAGCTAGCTTACTGATCCCAACGCTGAACCGAATGTATATGAATGGATGTTTAGTTGTCCAACAAATCCATCTGCGCGAGTCGCTGTCGCTCACGATAGTTTAAGTTAAGTTCCAGTTGAGAACAAACCCACATCTCTGAACCAAGAGGAAACAGAATGGTATTCTGGCTTTGTCTACTTTCCGAAAGCCAGATAAATCACCTTCGAGTTCCGTTGTTTATCGAGTTTCTGTAACTCTTCGCTGGTAAACTGTGGTCCGCTATTCGGGAGTTGGGTGTCGCCTCTCGTATGGTTAACAACAGCCATCGTGCTGTAGTTACTAGTTGTCCAATCTCAAAAAATAACTTCGGTGGTCAACCATCACCATGTATTTTTTAACCATAGGAAAACAAACCCGTGACAACTCCATGCCAATAGCGATTCTTTCCGGTCGCGAACTGATAGTTCATAGTGTAGTTGACGGGATACAATACCACTAAGTTGCTGAAAACCTTTCGAAAACCCATGACGGATATCACTATTCTTGGGACCCATCGCATGAGCGCAGCATCGAGTTTCCCTCAATCGTATTTTCTGCTTGAACACAAATTATACACAACTGGTAAACTAAATTGGTATTAACAAGAAGGTCAACTGAATTACGACCAAATCTCTCATATATGGTATCTTGAATATTTTAGTAAGTAAAGTGAGGCGGCTTTTTTTTATCACATTCGGTCGGAGAATGTCATAATCGAGTGGATCAGCTGGGTTTCAGTTGAGTTAAAACCAAATAAGTTGGCAGACGACTGTACTACGCGAGATCCTAAGCTTCCTTTGCTTAACCCACTTGGGTGTATTTCTGCTGAACATGAATGCATTCAAAGCCATAAGCAAATCAGTCAGTAAACGATGGCCTCTGAAGGAAGCTCGCATCGTCTGATTGTAGCAAAGAAACCAAATACTAGACTAATGTTAGGGATTCATGTAGACAGTTCCAACCCCTAAGGCAACTGGATGGAAAAAAATCCAAGTCAGAATTTACGAGACCAAACGGTCAGTTGTTGATCAAGCTATTCAGACGCCTTGAACAATGGACGGATGAGTACGCACAACAGTTCTACTGACCCCGTGTGCGAACACTGAGGCCCAAACCAATAACCTTCTGACTTCTTGACAGTAACCTCTCCATACAGACCCATCAACGACTTATACGGTTGTCACGGAAACCGGCCACCAATAAAGATAAAGTGGCCCACACCCGGAGGAACTCAGTACTGCTTAAAGCTGGAGGTACGGCGCTAACATAGGACTAACTAACGTGTTAGGAACTACGTGAATCTCAGAGGAAATACCCACTATCTGGAGCACTGAGGCTGTCGCCCCGCTCCAATTTTTATTGTGGCATTATTCTGGTCAGAGTTGTATCTAAGATGTTAATGGCTGTTATTCTTCTTTGACTAAACCCAGAACACGAAGGCTGGTTACCGCGAAATCTGAGTCCGCACTAGTCACGATGTAACAACCGCTGGAGCTACATACCAGAGACCCAAGCTCCTAGCAATTCGTGATATGGGAGGTGCATATGACACCGTGTCGGATTGTTCACCGGGCAGTGAAATCCGGACGAATTTACTTATATCCTAAAACACCGTATGTATATACGGTTGGGCATATCTAGGGTTATAGCGAGATACCACCCCTCTTCTCTATCTCAAACGGAGATCGCCTGAATATTTCTCTATTCCTATATAATTTTGGGATGGACGACGTCCTCAACATTGCACAGGATATCCCAAACTACGGAAATGTTGGGTTGTGCTTCGGAGAAAACGGGGGAACTGTGGTCGTATACACGCGTGCCGCTCAGTATACCCTGACTGAAACTCTCCAATAAAATGGTATCAGACTGCACAAGTCAAACATCGTCTTGCCTTCGACCTGGTGAACATATCTGTACAGCTAGATAACTGCTATGCATAATATGTACCAAAGGTAGAAAGGTCAACAGTCATGAAGATTCGCTAGGCCATTAGAAACTTTGTCATATTTGGTGAAGTGGAGAAATCAGCCTAGTTATGGCAGGGCGTGTATACAACACTTCTGTACGCGCCATCCTGTTATATGAGTGTAAAACAGGGGCTATACATGCAGTACACAACAGCAGTTTGGTCATGATAGTTTTACAGGGTGACGGACATGCTGTCGACTGACTGGAGTAATGCGCCAAATCTGCACATCCAGCCAACTCAGTCACGAGAGTAAAACCAGCTTTTCGGAATGCACTCACTACAAGCGCAGAATAATAAATGCATTTCCTCACAACTGAAGCTGAGGTACAAAGTTACACCGAGAACACAACAGAACACATTCATAACTTACTTCTGTTAGGGGACCAAAAGGTGTATTTTCGAAACCCAGTTAACAGGAAGGTAACACCTCAAATGAGCCCCAAACTGACAGAACTTCACCAAATGTATAAGTTGTATGATGTCCATGCAATAGTACGAAATCTGTTGTGTAGCACGGGATAAGGTATTCCACTGTAACTCCTGAAGGCCCATTTGCCCACTTGTACGGACATACCGCTCCAAGTACCCCAAAGGGAGAGGTCAAAGGGGCTCAAGCCTGGAAATTTTAGGGACCCTTAATTAATTAACCTACCCCCGAGTGTTGCTCTCAGGTATTCGGTAGAACCCTGAGCCCCATTCCATCCATTTATGGAGCCATTTGGTGTTGCGGCAGGTGCTTGGGTGCAAATCCTACAATATATAAACCAACGAAATACACTCAATAGCATGCCAATTTGGTTTTGACGGGAGAATCACCTAGAACCCAGCTGAATCTATCGTTTATGATGTTTATAAGCAACTGAACGTGCTGCACCAGACCGCTTTATGTTCCAGTTATTACGATATTCGAGATATTGCGACACATTGTACAGACGCAATATACTACTCATTTTCATGCAGTTCGGGTCCGATCAATCAGACCTTCGTATTCAGTGCCCGCATCCAGGGAGACGATCAAGACCGTCGAGGATCGTTCACATTTCCCATACATGCATGCAGCTGTCATTCGATCCAGAGAACACCCTTTACCAGTCGATCGAGTTTGTGCAGACCTTTCCAAAATGGGATTTATGCAGTCAGCTGACCTCGATTTTGGACTTGTGAAGGTGTGTGCGCCACATCGGATCTCTGTTAAGGTTGTGAACTTATTGACCCCAAGGTCCGTGGTTCGAACTCAACATCAGCACATTTCGACCGTTCCTCTCTTGGCTTGGGCAACCTGGCAGTATATAAGCCCTCGTGCTTCCTTCAAGTGGCATGACAACTAGGCACCGAAAGGGTGTTATAACTGGGGGATTACTTAGTATTTTTAGTCGATGAGCGTTCGCGGTTCCAAAGAAGCTTGTCCTTTCTGCCGGTGCCACAGGATAAGCAGGGTGCTCACTGTCGTTTCGTGACTGTACATGGTTCGTTCATTTGGGGAGCTTCGACAGGTCTAGCCACTTAACACTTGTCTCCCCAAGCTCACCGCTAAATCAGTGTTCTGCCTATTGAAGGCAGAGAGGTCTCACTATCCCAGATCCTTAAGAGGATCGAATGCATCATACGCTCCTGATTGCCGACTCAACTGTACCGCTGTGTTGTTGCGCCTGAGGAATAGGAATGATCTGCACTTGCCCGTCACACCTCAACAAGCCTAAAGAGAGCGACGTCCGTCGTTTTTATGCACTAAAGCGTACACCAGACACAGATGCTTACATGGGCGGAGTTGTGCGAAAATGTAACACACAGAATGGGTGATCAGAAAACTGGGCAAAATGCTGGGTTTTAGAGATGAGTTGTAGCCACAGAGGAACAATCCACGAATAAATCACGAGATGATGGGTAGCTTTACTAGTAAACTGATGGGTTCCAGGAGTAGGGAAAATAGGTCCTCCTATGGTCTGAGGGTTGCGTCCCACTGGAGGAAATTTCGTGGCATTTGTGAATTGGGGCCAAAACCATGTTTGGTTCTTTATAACACAGCGCACAACGGTGAGAAGGCACGTTAAGTTCATAATGCACCGCAGTGTGCACGCCTGTGATGGCGAGGAATGTACACATTTTACTGACGTGGCGAACGATCTTCGTTGAGTACCGAAACATGGGACGTGTTCTTGCAGTTGTTAGAGATAGAATGAAAAAGGGGGATGATGAATATGTACTCTAAGTCAGTTAGCCAGCCTGAACTCAGTAAATGCAGTAGTTAACTCGAACTTCTGGCATGGGTGGTCAATTTGGTCGCGTTATGATCTATGGACGAAATTACATAGGGGGGCAATGGTCTACAAATAGTATTCGGAGTCACCTCAGCTCACTTACCGAATGGGGTTATCAGAGGACACAAAATGCTGTAGGCCGAGACGACTGCAAACACGCAGAGGGTCCAAGCGTAGTAGAGGCCAAAGTCAAATTCCCATTGGCTAGCCTGAATAAAGATAAGGCAACGAGAAGATAGCTAGGGAGGATGTCTTCAAAAATTCGTTCACAGGAAACCAGAATATATCAAATGACCCAACTGGTGGAATACCAGAACCGACCAATGTGTGACGGTTTCAGAAGAGTTTAGCAAACCCTCGGTCGGTCTACTGCAATGCTTTGCTGTTGACACTAAATTTCGTCGAGCGGGCGCAGGTTCATCGAATACTCAGTGACGGATTAGTGAGAAACAGGCTGAGTTTCGTCCTAAAAAGATTTGGCGTACGTAAAGTCAATACCCAACAGGTTCTGCAACAGTGGCACTTCCACTGCGACCAAAATTGATAGTATTTACTGACTTGGAACGCACGTTCTAGACCGTTGATCGGTGAGGGAAACGGTAGCTCGCAAAACTTTTCAACTCTTCTAAGTCTATTGTACGTTAATTTCCATCCATGGATGCGGATGTTTCAGGTAAGCTTCACCTAGATTAATAATGGTATTCTGAGTGAGAATTGTTCCCGTCCCCCTTCTCCTTACCAGTGTTACTGGTCACTAACAGCCTTTCACGCCCAAGGGGTGACAGTCATATGGAGGCCAAATAAAGTGAACCAGATCCAAACTGGAAGCTATCTGTGGTTGGACAAAGTAAACCGTACCTTGCGCACACTCGCTTTTTCCGCTTGAGATCTCACGCACATAATCCGGCAAGCGTAAAGAAATAATTCTGGCAGCCGAGCGAGTTGAAGCGCTGTTCCGAAGAATGCTGAAGTGATCACATAGTTCACAAAGAAGGCGCCATTGTCGGGCATAAACACGCACTCCCATTGAAACGACTGAGGTCCAAGGGGGATCCATGGAGACGTAATTGGTGGAGTAGCAGTCGGATGGATCATAGAGGTGAATAAATAGCGCGGTGTTGAAAGAACAGCAGAAGGTAAATTAAAACGGGGTGTTTGTGGAGGGCCGTTTTGATCCGCTGGTTGAAGCGGTACCCAGCGCATTTCAGGAAATAACCATTGTAGCAGAGCTGGGATTCTGTGCAGAGGAAGCGACACATGGAGATTAAACTGTACTATTGTTTGGTTGACGAAACAATCGGTATGAGTTGAGATATGAAATACATCGTGTGGAATGCAAGAATCCGTTGCCAGGGTAGGGGTACTTTTGTGATTAAGGGTGAAAGTGTGCTATTAATAAGACGGCTGAATAGCGGTAACACATAGAGCCAACACGAGGTTAGGTGCGCGACGGAACGATTCGCTCACCCGTATTTTGCAATAGCTACGTTAAGTCCGGAAGCTGAGATTTCGGGTCAGAGTCAGGGAACCAAAGAAAAAACCAAAGTACCGTATTCTTCTTTCTAAAGATACAACCAGAAGGTTATGTACGAGAGTGTAGGGTAGGGTTTTCGCAGACGAAAACCATGAAAGGAAGTCCAGAAATTATTTTGATGCTGTTTGTGTGCTACTTTTCTCTCGAAAGACGGTATACAGAATACAACATATGCAGTTTATTCTTAGTTTCAATTCAGTTTGTCCATGCATCGGTTCCAATGCGTTATTTTCTTTGACCGATCCGCTCCATTCGTTCTCCCCTAATAGCGAAGATGCAAACGAGGAATCTCGCTCAATGGGAATAAATACCAGAGGAAGCACTACCACAGACAACAGTCCAGCCATTATTAGTTATGAAGGGAGTAAAGGTACTCTTATGAATAGGTCCCCCTGTATACAACCCACAGCACAATGATTAACTGTTAACAAAGACCAGTATCGTTCACGAGAATCATCATAGTATTAGAATAAGATAGAAAGGTAACTACTTTAGAATCACCACTTGAAATGACCCAACAACCCAAGATACAAATCATAGCTTGTGCGCATTTCATTTGCAAACATTTTCATTTTCAATAAATTTATGCATGTTTTCATGCATACATGTTACATGTATGTTACATGTAACATACATGTTACACATGTTACACACCCTGCGCTGTAAAATGCACTTCTACACCCACAAACCTACAGTACATGTGCATGCAATATCACCAACCCAATCCTGCGACCCTGACAGGAAGGGGAGCGGGCCCAATGGTGTGGTCTTAATAACTAGTAACTTACAACCGTCAGTGAAAAACTTCATTTTGGAGGCGTACGAATGCGATCCTAAATGAAAATCGGTTATCACAGCAGCGGACTTCCTTCAGCTGAGTCAGACAAGGGTAGAGTTATGTCAAAGTATTGAAGAAATAAAAATTCTTCAATCCAAGTCCTCAGAAGTGTTCACAGAGCCCCTGAAACATCGGATTGGTTGGACAAGGTGCAGTTCTGACAGTTCAATGTTCTGGCCACTGGCTTCTGGAATTATTATGGAGATGACTGCATGAAAATTACTGGTAAAAATATCAAAGTCTCTCAGAAAAGAAGCAAGCATGAAGTTTATTAGTTTGCTCATTTTGGTGCTGCAAACATGCAGGGCAAAGGAGCGAAAGCCGACAAATCGTCACATCGTTTGATACCTAAAAGGAGGTAAACTCATGTTATCGCGCGGTAAATCATCCATCTAAGCAGTGCACCTGAAGAGATCGATCAACTATGCTCGCCCGCGTGGGGTGTTCTGCTTTGTGATGGCCATTACCACCAAGAGACGCTCCGAAAAATCAGATGAAACCGATCTATTCTGAGGGTGGTTCCTCGAAAGGGGAACAGCCATAATGAAGGGTCTAAAATGGTGCTATTTGATGGAAGGTGACGATCACACGCACCTCTTGAAATGCTTATGATAAACAGGAGACGCTAAAAAATCGAGGGCATGTATTATGCTAGCCGCGAAAGGTTGTGGTTATGTAGCAAAATTAACTCCATAGTACCCGCTCGTAAAAAAAGTCGTTCAGCTGTAGCACCCCTTCGGTGTTTGGCTGCCATGCCACCAGAAGGAAGTACGAGGACTGGGATACTGCCAGGCTACCCAAGCCTGGACAGGGGAAGCTGGGAGACAGAGGTCAGGTTCGAACCACGGACCTTCCGGTCAGCTAATTAGCGCTCTAACCTCTTGACCCATCTCGGCCCCGCTCGTAGCTGCGTATTTTTCGCACCATCACCCAGACTTGAATTCATCTTCCTAGCTTTCGGGGATGCATTAACCCTTTCCAAAGGATCCGTCACTGGGACATCACTGGACTTCCCCAGCAGATGGCCTGTTGGTAGTGGGTCACATTACGGGTAATTACAGACGTGAAACACTGTTTTTGTCTCTCCGTAGGCAGTGGCTCTTCGGAGGAGGAGTTTAACTTGTGGTATTATTGTATCTGATTATTCCGTCCTTTCTGTCGCGTGAGAAGTGGGTAGTCAACAGACTGAATGAATTAGAGAACGAACGAAATAAAATATCACCAATGATTGGTTTGGTGAGCAACCAGGAGAAGCCCTTACTTTCTTTACAATTCGGTCTTGTCAATCCTGGTCAGACGAAATTAGGCAAAGTGCAGAGAAGCCAACTGGATTTGTATCGAATTACGAATGCTACCGCCTGCTTCAGACTAATTTTTTGCGAAGTGCATGAACAGCCACTTTGTATGTTCCCATTAGGCTGAAGAATCCATGTCCAGCTTCCCTCTATGCATTGACTGGTTCTAACATGTGAGCCTTGTTTGTCATTCTTTTTTTTCTCACCTCCACGGTTTAGTGTTTGATGCGATTTTTGCGACCGGATGCCCCAAACCTACGTTAGCATTCCGACAGATGACTCTATGGGACAGCTGCCGTGCCACTACGTCGAAGCGTTGCCTAAAAGTGATTTATAATGACAAAAGCCTCGCACTGCGATGGGCTCTTTACTCTGCCCGCCTCTAGCTGACCCACGAGAAATTTACAAAACAGCCTTCCATATGGTACCCATAAAAACAACAATGTGGAAAACAGCTTAATGCTGTAGTAACCGGCGATACGAGCCATATTTTCGCATTATTTAACGAAGTCCATGCATACATCCACAGTCTACTTGTTTCGGAACTTAGAAAGCAACATGAATTGACTTAGCAGATAGTGCACAGGAAATGGACATCGAATGTTCAGCACATTAATTTTGAGAATTTTTTTACTCTTATACGAGAAAGAGCCTGATACAAAGTCTGAACTCTAGGATGAATAAAATTTGCACTTTCTGTACACAATGGTCATTCGTAACGCTCTATACAAAATAAAATGGGTTTGATAGAACGAAAACTCAAGAGATGCTCATCAGGGATGAATATGTGTACTTCCGCCTTCATATCAAGGGAGATAATAATACGGCGACTGAATAAAGCTGGGTCACGGGGTTGTGCCGCTCAACCTCTTAGACTAAATCATGCGTCGAAGACGGTACGAATAAGAAGACCTGTGTGTTATCTTCCCTGCGATGTGACATGATAAGTCTGAAAAAAGCAGAATGAACATGACGATCCAGACGTTCTATGTCCAGCAAATGAGCCAACTCACGATGTCAAGCCCAGCGAAGGTAGCACTAAAACCATCAGTATAAGCAAAATGAAGGTCTTCGTCATTACTGTCAAATGTAAAGTAGATCGCGTCCAATGACCCACGAGGCGATCCGAATTGTACACCAGCAGAGGTAACAAGGCAGAGACGGACCACAGAATGATTGATGGGATGAACTGTATAACAAAAGGGTCCTGAAATGAACAATAAATGAAGTAACAGTGCGGCAGAAAAAAGAGAAAAACTGCAACATCTTCCAGTGAGATTTCGCACATACATTACAAGCACTCCAGAAGGAAGAGGTATGGTGTAGTTTCGGTCATGTTCACGCGGAGGGAGGACGTCGGTACATCAAAAATCAACTAAAGGATACTTTCTGATTCCCAGGAAGGCTTATCCTTGAAATCCGCAGAATTAGCGATAACCAGCTGAACAAGAGCAAGGATAGTAAAGACACCACCATGTTTGAGTGGAACATTTGCCGGAACAACCTAACAATGGTGAACTATGGTGAACTATGGTATGTGAAAGATATGGTATTCAAACAGGCAACGTAGAGGCGGACGGAATTATTAGAGCAAAAAAATAGAATTCATTGTGAGAACGGTTGCCAGAATGCAGAGGAGAGGGAGACGTACGAGTTGACTGAGGTGGACGGACAAGAAGCAGGCTATCTTATCGAACCCTCCCGAGAAGGTTCTAAGCTCCATGCTCAAGAGGGTTCATTATCCGTACATGAAATATCTGGAATCTGGAATGAGATCTTAGGCGGTTCATTGCTGGTGTGGTTGTGACGCTGGTCATTTGGTCAACTTAAAAAAACGCTACGGTAATCCTTCTGACTGCATTCCGAGGGGTCTGCTGCCAATGGTTGCCACGGACGGCTAGGTGATCTTTTTGACCTCTCGTCTGAGATGGAAATCGTATCAACAGAACTAGCTACCTCGGCTCTCTGATACCTCAAAATAGCAGACGACATGCGCCGGAACCATTTTCTATGTTATTCATGCTAGTTTATGCGCTGACTGCATTGTGATATCCTTTAGTCGGAACTTGCAGCAGAAACAGAGCACGAAGAAGTAATTGATCGCTCGGCTTATGGAGTACACTGCCAAACCAGCGTAATTGGTACCACCGAATCAACTTATGCGTTGGGCAAGCAGCTGATTCGTTTTCAAATCCATGCGTAGAACTTCAGCGTGGCACTTCCATGATAGATGTGTAATGGTTCGAATGAACCGACGCACAAAGACAGTCATGCTTCACAACCGTGAAGTAACATTGAACGAACTGCCTCGTTGTAGGCCCTGCCTCCCATCGACAAACTAATGTCGCGTCCACCCCAAAGGTACCTATGTTGGAGATTAGATTAGATTATGAAGTGCACAGGTTTTGGTGATAGATTCAGGAAAAAAACTCTCCACAAAGTTTCACGCGCTCACAGATGTTGGAGTATGAGAGTTGCTGAAGTGTGCTGAAAATGTCCGGCACACATGCGAAGGAAAGACGTTGAAACGAAGCAACGCGATCTACTGAGTCAAACCACCAAGGAGATTAAGAAGCCGATCACAAAATGGTACGCATGAACTCACGTTGATCTGCAATCGTTCGGTCAACCGCAGCTTGTTCACCAAGTTTAAAACATAAGTAGGCGTCGTGAGGAAGAAAACGACGATAAACACAAATAAGTTTACTGCGACTGCACGAACCCACCAAACGGTTCGGGAAATAGCGAGGTTTTGCCTAGAACAGATAGAGGAGAAATAGACCAAAGGAAGCAACTAGTATCCTCATTATTTCGTTATTTCACAGCGAAACATATGAAACGACTAAACCTCAGAAGACATACACAACATTGTACAGTACCAGTGGCTCGAGTCAGTGAATTCGCGACGAGACACTCAGAAAGCGTGTTTGGTTGGGCAAGGGGGACTTCAACAGAAGGATGTGTTCAGGACCAAAGCCTGCGGTGGCTTGATCATGGCGCATGGCGAATCACCATTTGCAAAAGCGAGCGCTTACTACAAAATGGCAACAGCTGAGATGACCAACATTCGAAGCGGCAAAGGGGTATGAAAAGTCCAGGCACTGTCGGTGCCTTTCAAGATGGGATCCTCGTGGTCCCTCCTGTGCGTTGTTGGAGACTCTGCAAGATATAGTTGTTAAAGGCCTTGTGGTTGTCAGCTTTCATCCAGATTGCCTAAATGGATCTCTGCAAGTGGAATTACCTGATAATGATTGTGGTAGGTTAGGGCTGGGTCCTTTCCCCATCCACTCCTATTGTTTTCTTTAAAATAATACCACCGCTACGCTCCACAATAACGCACTGATGATGTCACCTCGATTGGTGATGAAACGTTTGCAATCAAATTGCGCAACTCAGCGAACAAGCCAACGACCACTGGCACCTATGTTCGTGGGGTGCACTGGACATCGCATACGGTCACCTGCCACATTAAAGTACGTTTATGCTTGGCAGCCCCTAGTGACCTGCGGTCTCCGAAATACTCCTCGCTATTCTTCAGTCAAAAGCTCCAGACGGGACTCCGTAAACCAAGTCTCCTCTTTGGCTTGGACAGCCCGAAAGTATCATGCCCTCCAAATTACGACGGTAAAGTTCATAGCATTCGGACAGCAGAAAACATTCTCCGGATACCTAACAGGACAAAATTCTACAAATCGTTTTGCTCGCGAACTACCTCAAGAAGGTTGGTGCTTTCTTTTCGGATCACCTATGGGCCAGGAGTTCTCCCCATTGACGAACCCTCACGAGGTCTCCACGTTAACTTCTATTCTGAAGTCCTGGTAGGATCTACGACGTAAATACATATATTGCACGTCAGAAACCACATTGTAAGACTCCAGCGTTACTCGCTTGAACGTTTAGTCCATAACTAGCCTAGTAGCGTATAAAGTTCGGCGCTCTCTCCAAATCCATGAGTTCGTTTGCCGCACACAAGGACGAATGCTGTACTGTTGGCCGCAGATTCGAAAGCGTGATTTGAGAATCTGAACGACAGTGAATGATAACCCCGTAGTTGTCATGGGCTGTATAACACGAAGACAGTCTTGAATGTGTGCGCAGACAGCCGATTGTCCTCAGCCAACGTAAGTTTCAGGCGTTGCAATCGTCACTAAGCTACTCGGCGTTCGCATAAGCCACTCCACCACGGACTCAAATTAACCACACTACCTTCATCTGCCGACCAAAAGTTTAAGTCTCAGGCTACCATTCGTGTTACAACACCTATCTGGACTCAGACCATGCAATACTGTACTAAAAATGGTGCATGCTCAAAAATGGATTTGGAACCACTGGTTGATAATAAACAGACTCCAAAAAGGTCGATTGCATTTAGGAAGGGATATAGCTACAACCACTGCCCGTAGCATCAGTAGTAAGCATCATTTAATGGATGGCAACTAGGTCAAAATAATACCACTCACCAAATAATGTTACTCGGTGTAGGGGCATATACAACCGTCCAGGAGCGCGAACGGAGGAGAGTAGATACGCTGGAAGCTGGCAAGTTCACATTACATCGAATTCCACTGTGATATGACCGATAAACCCTGTAAAGGCGATTCGATACCACCGGGATTACAGAAGGCAAAAGAAAATCGGGGTTTATTACGAAGCCCCCGAAAACTTCTGGAAGCAAACAGTTAGCAATGAGAGCAACAGGAGAGTGAATTCAATAAAAAGGGGTTTGAAAATGACCTGAGCGTCCACTAAGTAACAGATCGCATTCTCATGACGACGAAAAACATATGGGCGGCCAAGTGAAAAACAGATAATTCGTTTATTGGTTGTGGCTGTTTGGCATAGCCAACCTCTGGATTCAAGGGGAGGACGCAGGAATGGCTTCGCCGTGTCGGACCTGGCAGTTGCCACTCTCACGATATGCGCATTTCACAAGACTGTCATCGACTTTCCCTCCAAGGACGCGTGACTGGACGGAATCCTTTTGGAACTCACCAGTACACGTTGTTCAGAGTGCAATGGGCATCCTGGATAGTTTCCCGTTACCTAAAGGGCGCATGAATTGTAATCGTGGTCATCAACCTCAGGTGATTTGAGGGCTCCTTCCAATCGTCTTATGGGTCAAGTTTTTTAAACATTCACTCCAGGTGGCCCACCGCAAAACCCCTTATTCCGGCCTGAGTGACTCTGACAAATAGTAAAATCTATATAGAATCACTTGGTGCCTAAGACGGTGGAAATACCTAAGGTTTTACTTGTCTTTTCCCTAGTCTCAAGTTCATGAAAAATGAGGCAGCAATAGGCGGGGTTTCCTTAGTAGGCAGTCTAGGAAGGGGTGACCTATTTCGGGTATAACCATGCCGGGCTCTTCAGTACTTTCGGTATTGTGTGTAGATACACAACCATACATACACATACCATACACACCACATACACACCATACACATACCATACATACACAACCATACATACTACGACCCTGGCTGAAAATTGTTCAGCCAGACCGACAAAGCACTGGCAAAACTACAAACAGCAAGTGAAAAATAAGGACATTGGAAGAGGAGAGCGCTACCAACAGTGCAAATTATCAAAGAGAGCGGAAAAAATACACTGGCTGATCGATAGGTTAACAGGAACATCTTGGACACCTTCAACATAATATCAAAATTGGCCAAAATGAGGTATCTAAAATCGGAAGATGACTAAATTAAGTTGTCCCGCCCCCTTTTAATCTTGTTTATTCGTCTCGTTCAGCAGGCGGCGCTGATACTCACATAGTGTCCGTGTAGGCGGTTGTGACCACAGATTTATCCAAAGCCCTGATTGGCCCTAGTCAAAATTTTCTGTCTGGCCAGGCGCCAGTGTCTCCTGTGTTCATGCGTCTTCAGTCTTACATAGACCTTTTGTTGAACGACCTCTTCTTGACAAGACGCACAAGTGTTGTCACTAACAATCAACCATAAAAAGACGAAAATATGACGTAGTCCCAAGTTCAACAGTTCAAGTTTCCAAGGAACGAAAATCAGCTAAAGCGTTCGGAAGATCAGTCATAAACTCCAAGTACATTGGAGCTTGATCATACTAATTGGAGACAGAAAAAAATAATTTAGTTTTGCCTGCAAAAACACTTGAGGAACGGAAAATCCAAATTTTGGGACATTTAGAGATTTTAGTGTATCATTTCTAAAGGGGCAGCCGTTTCGGTCAAAGAGATGATAATTACCCGACAGATGCCATGGAAAACAGCGAAACACACCGAGTAGCTGCTTCTTTTGTGGTGAACGTGATGAAAGCGATGCCAATTTTAGTCTTGACGGCTCGTGAACCCTCTTCTTCGATCAACTTGCGTAGCTGTTCCGATTCACGAGCATAGTAAGATATCGCATCAACTGGAAAGGGACATTGGCAGTGGTTGCAACAGACATCTGAACCCATGATTGCTGTTGCTTCATCATCAGAATTCGCATCGTACATGAAATTATTCAAGTGTCGAGGAGAAGCAAAGCAACATCGACAATGTCCACGATGATAGCAATTGGCGCAGGACCACCCGCAACATCGGGGGATCATAACTGGGCGTACACCTTTCACTTCAAACCTTCGCCTGGAAAACTTGAGCGAAGTTTCTGCCGTTTCCCTGCAAAAAGAAGAAACAACAGCGGGAATCGTGTGACAAACTGTGTTCACGATGTGGCGACAGAAGAGTGAGTGAAAGGATTTCAGATAAGATAAGGAGCAAACCAAGGCATTTGAACTCATATGAAACACTGGAATCTGAGACCTCTATACCCCAACTGCAAATATATAGCGTCAACAAAGCGCGACGAATCCGAAAAGCCTGGTTTGATTCAACATGGTTTGATGCAATGTGGTAGAACATCAGGTAGAACATAACTTTGACGGAAACTCGGGGACTGCGCCTACCTGATGAGCCCCAATAAGGGCAAAACCAGTCAAGGTATGTCGAAGATTTTCATGCAACCTTATAAGTTGGGGTGGCCATCCTTATTTGACAGTTGCACCAACTTCAACCTGATAGGGTTGAAGGTCTTCAGCGTGGCACTTGATGCAGGCTATAGCCGCGTAAACAAAATGGATGGGAAATAGTAGTGTACTTGTAGGTCGAGGTTGCCAGTGGAACACGAATTTGTTCCGTGATTTGAGTGTTTGTGGAACAAACGACACGCGTGACCTAGTGAGTGCAGAAGCACTAGACAATTCGAGCGAAGTTGGTTGGAGGAAAGAGAGAGTGACCGCTGCAGCCCTATCCAAGGATGGCACAGTAATTATCCAGGGACTAAATCTTAATAACGAAGGAAGACCGACGCTCTAGCTAGCCCAAAACCACAAGGCATCAAGCGAAGAGTTTGAACTGAGGAGCAAACCCAAGTGAGAAATCTCATTAAACGGAAACTGAGCTGAACGCCTATTTATTGCGCGCAATGTGAAGAGGGGTGGCCATTCTTACTTCATAGCTGCACAAACTTGAAAACAACTTGATCTGATGTGGTTGAAGGTCGTAAGAATGGCACGTGATCCAGGTGGTAGCCGCGTAAACAAAACGGATGGGAAGTTTTAGTGTACATGTTAACGGTCAAGGCTGCAATCGGGACAGGATTTTGTCGCGTGCTTGTCGTACAGACGACACGCGTGATCTAGTTAGTGCAGATGTACTGGACAAATTAAGCGAAGTTGGTTGAGGGGACAATGTAGAGACCGCTACGTCACTGAGTCGAAAATAAGTTCTACGAAACTGACGTTTCGGGTGTCAAGGTTTCTGGTTGACGCTTAATCGTTTGAATGTGCTGACCTTTGAGGTCGACAAAAAAGAATTCGAAGGCCCTTTGTTAATATTAATATCAGCTTCCTTAAACATGCGATAAGCTAAAAGTTAGGCGACGCAATCCTTTTTCCAATGCACACTACTTGTACTTCAATGTCTATAATAAAGCCTTCCAAACATGGATGGTTATGTAGGTATCTACGTTCGAGAACGTGCCTCACGCGGGAGGATTCCTCTTTTTCACGGTGCTCTTAAAAGGGCTTGAGACGCGTTTCACCCAGTATTTACGAAGATGGTGAATGACCTAGTTTGTTTCAGAGACATCGAAATGCAGCGCGAGGAAATTCGTACTTTGGTGCATCGTAAGGCGTACTGGTAACGCTAGTCGTACGACACGAATACTTGCAGTTCCAAACAAAGTAAGAGACAAGCGCTAAAACTTTAGCGTATCAATGTCCATTTACTTTTCAGGGTTCGTATTATATTCACAGAATAATAAATCCACAAGCGTTGCGAAGAAAGGAAATTTCGTAGTTAAAACATGAAATCCGAGTTCCTTTCAGGAAAATCGTTCGGGATATTGCGAAAACAACAAACATTACACAAATGAACATCGTCAGGGAGTCCAACGGTCCGCCGGGCGACAACCACGAATAAGCATAAGTGAAACTGAATTGCGTGCTTAGCAAAAGGTCTAAACGAATTTCATCAAAATGATAATTTAAGGTATCGTCGGGGTTCCTTCAAGGTACAAAAAGGTGCTACATTTCTAAGTAAAAGTTGGCCTACGGCGTTCCGTGGTTTTCACCGTATCTTGCTTAATTTTCTGGTAGCATCATGTTGAATAGGGAATACGTAGTAAAAGTATGCAGAAAGCATCCAAGTAGCGCGGAGCTTGATCTAGATAATTTATGAAGAATCAAATATAGGAACACAATATGGCAACAGGCAAAAACTCAGTGGAGCTCGAGACACGCAAATTAGGGGAGTGGACATGGACAAGGAAGGGGAGGAGAATCAGGCTTACGGGATGTGATAGGTCAAATAGTCACGGGAAGGCCAAGTTCAGCACCACTATTTTCCGGGGAGATAGCCTAGGTCTGATGGATCAGATAGCCACAGTTTCTGTCCGGTGTGAGAGCGACTCTGACAATTCTCAGTGAGTCCTCTTTGCAACAGCGCTTTCCGGAACTTTATTGTAAGGTCTGAATTGCGACCTAAGCCACTGTTCTGCGGTTCGACCTGATAGGCGCCTTTTCGTCCTATTCACGTACGTGCTTTCGCAGCTACGTGCATGTTTGTAATCACAGATTGTGGTGGACAGAACAGACAATCCTCTACAGATAGTTGCAGGAAATCTGCATTGTACAAACTCCCCAGTTAGCTATTTATGCAGCCATATACACTGTGTCGAAACCATTTCGGCCCTTATCAAGGTTATAGTGAAATATTCTCCGAAAAAATGAACGGGATATTCTCCTTGTTTTAATCTTTCCTGCGTACGTTGAGCCTCAGTTTCAGCGTCCATCGAGCACGTTTTCGGTATATTCGCGAAGGATTTGTGCACCAGGGTCCCCTGTTAGTTGAGAGGAACATGAGCATGAGCACTGCCATAGCGGCCGAACAAAACGTGGTGCTGCGGAGGCAAACACTCCGCGGGTGAACCACGTACCGACGATAATTGCTTGTTGACTGGCAGACAAAATTGGATTGTGTATACTTCTAGGTGTTTTACTTCTGCCTGATGGACCATCCATGTCAGTCAGTGACAAGTGTAACAAAACATGGCGCATGGTACACGGTGTACTAAATTTAGATGGGTAAAAATGAAAACAAAACAACCAGCAGCCAATGTTTAGTGCCACAAGCGCAGCGCGATTTGATGAAAACCGCAGTTGAGGGAATCCCACCTTCGACGGATTGCAAAGGTGTTTGTTGTCCTGCAATCAATGTACGTCTGGTACCAGTAAGCTTAGATTGATGCATTTCTAATAATGGCGTTCTACACTTCGTTTCCTTCATGCTCCCCCGACGGTGTAGGTGTGTAGGTGTAGGTGTCTCAGACCGTTGATCTCCTGCCGGAAACGCAGAAGTTTCACCGACTACAGAGATACCCCATAATTTCACTTTCTAAGAGCGGGAGAATCATTATCACCAGCTCCCGACATACAGTGGTTCTCGATACAGTTTCGTTCGCAATGAATTCAGGAGGATGAACTTTTCGCTTATCCTTTAACTAACCTGTGGCCAGTCGATCGCATCAATTGGTCTATCACATGGCTGTTCCCTGTAGCAAATCTTCCCCATCTCGATCTTTCGATATCCACCAAAGCTCTCGGTCTTCCCTTAGGCTCTTCATTATTTGGTGTCTAAGGGATTTGCGTGCGTTGGTTGCCCGTTGGCATGAATGTCCTGGCTTCAATCAGGACTAGCGATCTCAGTGGTATTCAATGGTCAATTGGTCGTATCAGTAAAGTCAGACGCACAGCACTGAACGCCTTTAGCATGCTTCTTCACACTACCATGCTTCATCAACGTGTTCGCTATCAAGACACTGTTGGTTTACTGTAAAGAGTAGTTGAGCTAGCTCAGGTCGATACTGTTGTGCTAAGTTAGTTCTAGAAAACAACGGATTGGCATGTTTCTGGTTGACTTTCGACGGCCTAAAGGGAAAAAAACCGTCAGGCGTGCACGCATAATGGCCTGATCGGAATCATGTTGTGTACCCCAGAAGGGACGCCAGTCTTGAATTGTGGCCCTCCACCGATGACTGATGGCCACGCGATCCAACTGGATCCACAGTTGATTTGCAGTTGGTGGCCGCCAGGATACGCAATGCAAACGTTTGTGCTGAAAGTCCGGGCTGACCAGAAACAGTTCATGATCAGCACGCAACTGGAAGAGTCGCTCTCCGTTGTCTGTGCGGCGAGCATCGACTCCGAATCGACTGCCAAAATGTGATTTCAAGGAACTCAGACGACCGAATTGAGCATTCATGTCACCCACAAAGGTCAGATTGTCAGTGTTTCTTGCTCGACGAATGAGCCCGGATAACCGTTGGTGTAACGGTGATACTAGTGATGGGGAGGCATGCGAGTGGTATGTTTTCTCGTAAATCCGCTTTGTGTCTCTTGAAAAGTGAGATCCATTGCGGAATTTGTGGAGTCGCTTTGTAGCATGTGCTTGAAATTGAGCAACAGTCAATGAATATCCAGGAAATTTCAGGAAGACGCGTTCAAAGAGAGGATGGATATTCAGGTTTTGTAAACAAGATGCATATGAGAGTTTTGCTTCCCTGTTCAATAGTCTGTAGCTGTTGAGTTGGCATTTTTCAATAAACAACTCCGCAGCGAAGGCCTTCTTCCTTTCATCAGTAGAAAGTATCCTTTCTAGCGTCAAAACCACAGTCTGTCGGGGCATAAGTCGGCAATGCAAACGGGTATCGCTTTTCATGTCGAGAAGCATTGAGCTTGGTTGTGCTGGATAACCGGAAGGCGCAAAGACGACTGTTCACTGGGATCCAATCCAACAAAACGCGTTCAGCCCTGGGGCTGGGCGCAACTCCCACGCCATATATTCCACGAGTCATTGCTTCTGGATCACCAAACACATGAAGGGAGAAATGTGGAAGAGCTGAGTTAGTCCTTTGCGTTTTGAGATGGCTAGCCGCGCTTGGGTCTTGTATGGTTGTTTCAGAGGAACAGCATACATCAACCTTAAGTGAGTATGACGTTTCCGCGAGCATTGCCTGTTTACCGATTTCACAGGCTACAGACGTTAAAAGCTCCTTTGTAAAAAATAAGGGATCTTGTGGATTTTTGTTTATTGTTATTGGGCAGCCGGCCGTATATGGC